TAGTGTTGGCTGACTCAAGTTTAGTAAGGTTAACATGAATGAAAAATGATTCTTTGGATGAGTCGAAAGTGTTCATTTGTTATGCTGAATTTTCTAAATGATACATAACGTTTTATTCTGTACCAAATGGGGTTCGCAGCTCGCTCCCATGATGATTTTTCAAGAGAAAACAAAATATTTTTACAGATTTTCGCTGCCATGACACATTCGTAAAGCAAAATGAATGCGACGTTCGCAACGAGCGTTAAAAGCTGCATTGATTCAATAGTTTTTGACACTGGTTGTAAATACAGCATTTATTTTGATTTATAACTATGTGTGTCATTATAATGAACACCGCTAAAATGTTATTTTTCTCTCTTGAAAAATCATCATCGAAGAGAGAGTTACGAACCTCATTTCGAACAGAATAAAACGTTGTATAAGATTTATAAAATTGAACATATCAAATGAACATTTTCGACTTATCGAAAGTGTTATATGTCAGTCATAATGTCTTTGCAAACCTTGAGTTGGTGAACACTGTGTTATATTGAAACAGTTCATTTTAGTTAGTTTTTTTTTCAAAGATATGATAGTGATAGAAAGTCGGTATTGACTAACTTTTCAAAGAAAAGTTATTTACGCTAACATTTCGAGTTTCGTAATTTTTGGACATCGATGCATTGAATGCACGAAAAAAAGAAGCTTTTACTTAAATCTAGTTGAAGAAGTTTTTTTGACATACTTGGAGTATTAAATAACGACTATGATCAAGATCAACACCATATTCACGTAATAAATTTGTTACATCTTTTAATGAAACTTGTTTTTCATTGATTTTATAATGGCTTGAATTATCAGGAAATGCAATACGTGTTATTGAAAAACGTATTTTTTCCTTTTCTCCTTCAATTGCTATAGCTTCAAAATATACAGTTACTGAACAACTTTTTACATTTGGACATTCGGCACTATTATGTAAAAGTGTACTCAATTTTGCACCACGCATTTTTGATGCTCGATGTCCAATAACAAAGAGAAGTGAATCAATTACATTACTTTTACCTATTTCAGAGAAATTATATTTGATATAATATATTATATGAATACATACCACTACCATTAGGCCCAATAATACATGTAAAATGCTAGAAAATAAAATAGATAATAATTATAGTACAAGTTTACATTTTCATACTTCATCGAATTGATCAAGTTGAATACGACCAGCAAATGATTTGAAATTATTTATTTCAATTTTAGTGATTACAAGTCGATATTTAGGGGTTAAAAGAGCTTGAATATGTTCAGGTAACGGTGGTAATTCCAATGTTTCAATATCGATTTCTGAAACAGATAATTTGGTTCACTTCGAAAATATATAAATCGCTCTCGTTTTTTACATACCTTCTTCGACAGCTTCATCTGCCTCTCCTTGATGAGTCATGAGAGCGAATTATTTCTTGAATAAATAATAACTGACTTAAATAAACAGTCGATGAAGAACAAACACAAGGTGGTAATAGAAAGTCAAAAACGAACAAAAACGAAACGAACGTTATTAAACAACCAATGAAGTCAAAATTCTCTGTGCTCAATGACCAATCAAATGAATACTTCATATAATACCGGCGACATAGATGACACTGAATTACTAACATCGATCAAAAATAAGATATTTGTTGATTGTAGATTTTTTGTTTTGGAATTGTAAAAAATATATGCTATGATATTTAAATATTCATATTAAAGTTACTGCATCAATCACTCTGAAAGAAATGTTCTGATTAAAGTCTGGTTAATCGTAAATCAATTACACATGAACGAATCTCGATGAACTGAAGAATCACAGCTACATACACCTTGATAGCAGATCCATATTGTCATGTATTTAAAAGTCAAATACGTAATTCAGAAGAGAATATTGTATTATCAATTGCGTAATACATAAGGTCAAGGTCAATAACTTATTTATTGACGGAAAAGAACAGAAACAAAGAAACAAGTAGACGAAGCGAAACGAACAAGAGTAATGATGCTTTTTCTGAAAACAAATATATATATATGTCGTATCGAAGTTACATCGATTGACGAAGTTACAACTTCGTCGTATAAACGTGACGAAGTTATAACTTCGACGCTCATATTCATCGAAGTTACAACTTCGACAGAGAAACTTGTCGAAGTTATTTTGAATTCACTTATCA